TTTGTTCTTTGATGAAGATTCAAAGTATTTCCAGGTATGGAAAATTGGAAAGGTTATAAAGAGATTTATGAAGGCCTTGCTTTGAGTTATCAATTCAACCATCTTTTTAATGATTTTTGAAGACTTCAAGTCACTATTAAATTTCTCTTTAATTCATAGTCACATATAATCGCTGCTTCCTTGAGTGACAGTCTGTATATTTTGTAGAACGAAAGAGGTTATTTATAGTCTTCTAAATTTATGATGTTCAAATCTAAACACAATGCTGTCAGTGTGAAAATATTAAACGTCTCTAGCATGGAAATAAGAGGCACATCTTCTTTAGAATCGACAGGAAGGACCAAAGGAAATTAGATTTAGAATTTGTAATAAAAGGAAATTAGTTTTCTTGTTTTTAAACATTTTCCCTATTTTTTAGACTTCATTCATTTGGTGTTCAGCCTTTGAGCTATGTGGCTATCTCCCAAACATACATGGATTCAATGGGCATTTTATTTTCTCATCAGATGTCCAATATTTCAGTTGCCAAGTATTTGGTGCTGTGTGTCAAATAATGGTTTTGTGTTTGGCAAACCAAGTGCACTATCACTGAGTCACATATCAGCCCAAAATAAACATTTTTACGTAATTCATTTGGAATCCCTCCTCCTTCTCGCACAACACCTAAAATATATATGTGTAAAACTAAAACTTAAATCCAGTTTTCTTTGGTTGCTTTCTGATCACCTTCAGACATTCCTGCCCTATCCCTGCTGCCATTGATCACCTACAGTGAATTAATAAATTTCAACAAGCAACAAACAGAGATGTTCAGTGTTCCTGATAAGGTTTAGGGTCACAATGAAACTATCCAACATTTACACAGAACTTTCAACTATGATAAAAATATAGAAAAGTGACAGTCATGAACTCTACCACCAGATAGTTCATAGAATCAGAAAAGAAAAAATTAAGGTTTAAGAGATGCTTAAGAATGAGACAATTACAGGCAAGGAGCTAGTATGGAATATAGTGTTTGAAATGATTTTCATCCCCTAACAGCCTTCTATTATTTACTTATTGGTCTTCGTGTTTCATTGTAAGTAGGGCTTTCCGTTACATGAAGGCCTATTTGCCCATTGTCTGTTCTACAACTTAGAAAGACATGTTTGGCTTCTGAGAACCTAGATTTTGTTACTTTAAGTCAAAGAAAGATTAAAATTAAGATAGTTGTAGTTGATTTTATGTCTAAAAGTCAATGATTTCCTTTCTGAAGAAGGCCATGACACTTGCAGTATCTAAGAGAAACAATCATATCTATATAATGTATAACAAAAAGAGACTTTCTACATTTAGGCAATACTTTAAGCAGCTTCAACATGTGGGACTCTTCCAATGTTCAAGCATCCTGCTGGTGATTCAGAAACTATCTAGAATCCCACCTCCTTTGATTTTTCCACAATGACACCACACTTTTAAGTACACAGTCAATCATAGTTCCATTTCAACCCATTGATGTTTTAAATCCTCATAGAGAAGTGCTCTCTTGATATCTTAGACCACTGAGGTTAGGTCATGAGTAAAAACAAATAAATATTTTGTATAATTTTAGAATCTGGATCTCCCAAGTTTATGGGGCAGGCTGCCTTGGTGTCTGGTAAGGCTTGCTGAATCATAAACAAGGTCTCCTGTGTCCACATATGGTAGGAGACCTATTTCACAAAGTCACTATCACTATTCATGGGTAGTTCTGCTTTGTCTTTTCAAAAGGTCTTATTTTCTACTACTTTTACCTTGGACAGTTGGACTTTGACATATAAGCTGGGGGTGTAAACCATCAGATCAAGTCACCTTGTCATTGCACAGCTCTGCTATAGTTTTATCAAATGTCCTTATATAAATATGGGTTTGAATTTCCAATCTCAAGTGCCCAGTTAAGAATTTTTAGTATTATATTCTTTTACTTGTGTTATTGAACATTTAATACTTTCAGTTATAAGAGGCCATAGTATCATTTTTTCCATTATCTTTAAGGGGTAGTCTGTCTCCATAGAAAATTCAATCTGATACATTTTCATGCTCATGATCAGTGTGTGTATATGTATGGAATATGTCTGGCAGCTCTTGGTGTTCCACTTGCTTTACTAAAACAGACTGAACAAAGGGAAAAATTTTCACTTAAATTATCAGAAAAGTTTTCACTTAAATTATCAGTTTTGTTCCCGCTATGAGGCCCCTTAGTAAAGGACTGCTGGTTCAAAGGCTTTCAATGTCATTGTGCTAGTTGGGCATATCTCTCCATGCTCAACCAAGGGAGTATTGCTTTCATATTCTATGTTGGCACACAAAGACAAGACATACAAATAGACTCCTCAAAGTTGATTCCTCACAAAGAAGAATAGATACTTATTTTCATTCCCTAGTATTTACTCTCCTGTTGCATCCTCAGGCTTCTTATTCCATTAGTGTTTGTTAGCTAGAGAAAAAGACTCTCAACATCTACTAGCATTCATCTGTATTCTACCATTTGACAGATGCCCTGCTACTTGTTAGTTCTCACATCACCAAGAAAGAGGGAGTCAGCACACACACCCATAGCCGTTCTGGTTTCAGAGTGGGATAGAAAATATGGCGCCAAGTTTCTTTCCTTCTGTTTTCCTATACCTGAGTGGTATTTTCTCTTTCTTTAGCAAAATCCAGACTGCTTATTTCCTCCATCTTAGTCACAATTACCAAAGTTTTCGATAAAGAAAGAACACACTCACAATGTCCACAACAAGGTATCACAATTTGATGAACAGTCCTGAGTTCACAGTTTCACATGGAACAAATATATTATCACACAAAGAATGCATCTCTGAAGGTAAAACATGAACAACCCAGGCCAGGAGAGAAGTTTCCTTTAGACAACTGCATTGGTGCCTGTCCATATTACAAGGTAAGCTACAAATTTAATATGGCAAATTAACAAGTGGTCACAGTAACTCGTTGCATTTTTACGGCATGATAAAATGATTTGTTAATATATTGTCTCTCTTGATTTATAAAAATTTTTTATTCTTTTAATGTCTCAACTGAGGAAATCAGGGATTACAGGTACTAAACTGACTAAAAACACATTAGCAGTACAGTAGCAAATAGACTTGTAATGCAGTTATGTATATTGATGGCTGTGGTAATTGAGATTATTTTTATTAGAATAAACTAGATGAACAGATTGATAGGAAGTCACTTCTTAATTCTGACGGTACTAAGAAAGTACTGCCCTGATGGCAGGGTTTCTGCTGAGTATTCCACGATGTTACTTGTGAAGAAATAAGGGAATTGACTAGAGTAATGAAATCTATAAGTGAAGTTTATTCAAATAAAGTAATAATAAAATCCCTTAAAACATTACTATAAATATTAGCTTAACAATTACTCTAGTATTAATATCTATCTACCCTTGCTTAATAGACAATTTTCAGTGTCTGCCTCCCATAGAGATTGTTCAATCTATTGCTACCCTCTCACATAGAAATATATATTTATGGTATATATGTATATATTAGAATTTTATAGCAGTATATTTGATTTTGACAATACTAACTTATCCTGATATACAAACACACAGACACATAGTAGGCAAAAATGACACAAAGATGAATATTAGATATGTATAAAATAATTTTCTTATTAACATACTGAGGAGTTCACATTATTTGGCAATAGACATCTGAACACAGCTGGGCAATGTTGAGAAAATCCTACTTTTCAGCTATAGCAAGTTAAATCAAGGATCTATGATAATAGGTGAAACTTTACTGTTAGCATTATCAGGCAATGTTAGAAAAGGATATTATTAATTTGGTGAAGGCCAGATAAAGTTTGGATAGAAGGAAATAAGGTATATATATATATATATATATATATATATATATATATATAATTGATCAATACGTATAAGATGGGCAAGTAAAGACAACTGGATGAATGGAAAATATTAAATATTTCTTTAAAATGTTTTTTATTTATTTAAAAGTTTTTTTTCATTTTGCATATCAACAACAGTTCTCCTTGCCTCCCTTCCTCCTGCTCCTCTCCACCTTCCCCACACCCAACTCCCTATCCACTCCTTGGTATAGATAAGGTCTCTGGGGAGTCAACAAAGTCTTGCATATCAATTTCAGGCAGGATCAAGCTCCTCCCCCCTGTATCGAGGTTGAGCAAGGTACCCCTCCATAGGGAATGGACTCCAAAAAGTCAGTTAATGTTCTAGGGATAAAGCCAATGGCCCCACAAATTTTCCAAGCCACAGAACTGTCACTCACATTAAGAGATCCTACAAAACTCAATTCCAAGGGGATCAAAGACCTCAATATAAACACACTGAACCTGATCGAAGAGAAAGTGAGAAGTACTCTTGAATGCATTATCACAGGAGACCACTTCCTAAATATAATACCAGTATTACTGACACTGAGAGCAACAATTAATAAATGGGACCTCCTGAAACAGAGAATCTTATGTAAACAAAACGACAGCCATCCAAATGGAAAAAGATCTTCGCCAACCCCCCATGTGGCAGAGGCTGATCTCCAAAATATATAAAGAATTCAATAAACTAGACGCCAAGATTCCAAATAATCCAAATTTTAAAATAGGGTATAGATCTAAACAGACAGTTCTCAACACAAGAAATTCAAATGGCTGAAAGACATTTAAAGAATTACTCAACATCCTTGGCCATCAGGTAAATGCAAATAAAAATGATTCCGAGATACCATCTTACATCTGTCAGAATGGCTAAGATCAAATATTGAATATTTCTATCTATATACATAATATTGCTAAATTTTATTCAGCTAATATATTTTAGTGATATTCCATGATAAAGATTATGTTATATTTTCTATGAAGTAGTGGAGAAAATAAAAACATAATATTCTGTTATCTGTGAAAAGTTGAGAGTATTTTGGCTTTGCTATTTTCATGCATTGTTTTATATTAATGTGTACTCAGATATTATGAAAAGTACCAACCTTGAAAGCTGCATTTTGCTTCTTTTACCTCATCTAGAAAATAAAAAAGGAAAGAAAAATATTAAAGTTAGAGACAATTGAAACAATAGATATACTAATAGGGGCATCTTTAAAAGAAATCAGTGAAGTTTTCCCATTTTACTTTTGACAGAAAGCAAACATTGAACTCAGGAGGGTTACACCTGGTAAAACTTCCTACTCTAATAATGTGACTTTGAATTCTGGTAGTTTACTTCTATAAAATATCTTGGTGTCATAGCAATTATGGGAATGCTTAACAAAAATGACAAAACAAAGTTGTATAAAATGAAAAGTGACACAGACAATGCTTAGACAACCCATGTAAGTGGCCCATCATGATATAATTTTTCCATAAATCTGTGTAAGACTCTTTTCGAACAACATTGCAATATACTCTCCTCCCGAATACTGATCAGAACACAGGCTTCACATCTTTCTTCACTGCCCTAGTAATCTGTTCTCCCTTATGGACCAAGTGATTATTGTGTTGCTTATAAATAACTGTTCTACATTCCTTATGGAAATTGTAATTATGATGCTGAATATTCAAACTGCAAGCCACTTTGCTCAGGGAAATTGTAATTATGATAATGCTGTATTTACCCAACCAATGTTTTCAAGTCATTGTTCTCTTTGAGGAATGGGAGGGGAGAGGAAACCCCTGAAATAAAATGTCCTTTTGGAATTTCAGACGTGTCTTCAGGCACAGAAGAATTGCTGCTCTTTGCAATGCTTCAGTGTCAGGTTTACATGCGTCACATATGCAGCACACACACACACACACACGTTTCATAGGGAAGCATCTAAATTACATAGGTTTCTCATTTAACTCACCCAACCACCCTTGAAGTAAGTAGTATCCTAATTTTATAAAGAAACGACCTGAGCTCTTTGTTCTGCACCATGATCTGAATGTTTACAGAGCATCTAACACAATAATCCTATAACATCACCTTACTAGTATCCAAAATTAGCATTCACATATATGTAATAAAATATTTTGTATAAAAATAATTTGCTGGAATAGATGAAAATACTTAAGCTTCTATTAATAAATAGATAAGTGAATTTCATCCTCATAATATTTGTGCACAATTTTGTAATAAGAAATTGATTTTTAAAGTATGCATATGAGAACCACAGACAACTAAATATCCAAATCATAACTCTTCAGAATGAAGCGATGAAGCATAAGGTCCAAGGCCAGTTAGCAGGAACCACATTCAGTAGGACAGGCAACATGCAGTTTTGGCTGCAAGAAGGATGCAAGCCACAGTGTTTTTTATTAATAAGCACAGATCACACCTACTATGCACAAATCCTTTATAGACAGTTTAAATTTCACAAATGCAATGTATGTGACTTTATTTTAATTCAATAAATTAAGTTCACCAAATTTGTTTGCTCAAATTTGCCAAGTTATCTGTTCTTTTATAACTTGGCATATTAACCAGATTTAATTTTAAAAAAACAAACAACAACAACAAACTAAAGTAAGATTAAAGGGAACTAAGAAACTAAGAGAACACAAAATAAAATATAATTATACAAGAATGAAATACACAAATTAGTGTGTTTTTAGAATTCATTCCTGCTACTCACTTAAATCATATATATCTTTATAACTTACAAGATATGCTCATTATATTAGCTTTATCATATTTTGAATATCTTTTCAAGAAGTTCCAGCTGTCTCCCCCAGATTTTAACACATCTTCTCCTTTCCTCAGTAACTCTTTTCTGTTCCATGTAGATCATTTCACAATTTTCCCCTGATTTCTCACACATGAGAAAGTAGATGAGCGATCCAATTTGACAGCCACAGGAAGTAGTATTGATCCTCAATTTTAGCATGATCCTTCAGAGCTACCAACCAGCCGTTTGTCTGGTTATTATTTCATTCACTTTCAGCCGAGAGAGAGAAGTAACAACATTTGTCCAGACCCAAAACAAATTCCCTAAGATAGTCGGTGAGCCTGTATTAGACAAGGTCTTGAACTCCCTATTTTAGCCAAGGTTGGACTTGAACCAATGTTCTCTCAGTACTGGTCTCTGGAGAGAGGTGATGGTTGGCATGTGCCCCTATTCCTGTTTGGCATGCAGCCTTGTTTAGTACTGTAGTCTACAAGTTTATGGATTCAGTACACAAAGGTACATAATGTCACTGAAGGCGAATGAAATTTTTGAAATTGGTATAGTAGTGGCTACATAATCATGTGATGTACTCAGTTCAGTACATATGACAGGAACCAGGGGATGCTGTGCTGTCCCGATGAAGTAACAGCACAGCCTGCTAATGATTGGGGGTGGAAGTATAACTAAACACTGCAGCATTTGTCTGTATGTGAGACACCCCTGGTTCAATCCCTCCTCCTTCCACACAATGGTACTGATGATGAGTCTCACAATAGTGAGATACTACTCTAAGGATATATTTAAATACTTGAAATTCAATGACTCTTTTGCCATTTTTTGCAAAGGGAAAATACTTCCATGTGGAGACATAATAGGATGCTCATGAATCATTAAGATATGCCTGATTTTAAAGAACTGTAGCAACTATTTGAGGATCCATGGCAAACATCTGGGAGCAGAGGGAGAAGCTGTTAAACCATCAGGGGAAAGAATGGGAAAATATCTGCCTAGATGACATGAGATTCCTGGCATTGAGGTAAGTCATCTGTGCTTCTTAATCTTTCCCTGATTATTTTTAATATGATACAGCAATGTACAGAAGCCTGTGTAAGTAATGGCGAAAACCATTTCTGACTCTTTAGCTGGTGTTATGTCACAAGGTGAACCACCATAGTCAGTGGATGTGCTGGCTGAATACGATGAACTCTAGCATGGACAGTAGATCAGGCAATGACAAGAATCAACTGCAGTCTTGATAATATCCCAGAGATAGAAATTGCTTCCTAGTATTCTTCCTAATTGGTTTGCACAAGATGTGATCCCAGCACGAGAGAAGTGAACACAGCCCTCATCCCTAACCAAGAACCTATCACCAATAGACAACCACTTGCAAATGGAAGCTTAGTTTTCTCCTAGCAAGTCTCATTGCAGAGCAGTAGATGGCCAACAGAAAATGAACTCAATGGCATCTTTGTAGGCTCCTTGTCTCCTAATGCTTTAACAAGGCATTCTCTTTGCAGCTGCTGTTGTTTGATCCTTACATCTTCCATGTCCTTTGCTTATATACTGTGGCTTCCAGTTTTGTGTTTCTATGGGATTCCTGGGTGTGAGAGTGCGTGTCTGTCTCTGCTTCTACATGTGTTTCTTGTGCTCTTTCTCTTCTTCTGTTGTTTCTTTTGTCTTATCCTGATTTGTTTTTTTTAATTCCATGTTTTTATTATTCTTTGGATTCCTGTTTCTTTTCTAAGGAGAGACAAAAAGGGTGCATGTATGAGCAGGACCTCAGGGGAACATTGGAAGAAGAGACAATATGTTGTGTAAAAAATCTATTTTCAATAAAAGAAAAATAAGAATTTGAAAAAAAGAAAATAAGATACCCTTCTTCATGGTTGTATCCTCAGGAAAGGTGACATTCAAGAGAGGTGGCCTTCCAGGATTTGTTATGACTTATTGTCAGATACTACCAGCAGACACAAAGTCTGCAGATACTGCAGGGTGTCATTCTGCTCCTCCTTGAGACCAGAACTCATGTCCTCAGCTGCCTGAGGGGTTGATTGATGGATGCTCACATATGGTTTCTTCTCCCAGTTTTTCCTTCTGCCTGAGGGCGTGAACACTGGCCAGGAGAAGTTTTTCAGCTCTCATCTAAGAATCCCTCCTTTGTTTGATTTGGGACACACCTACAAGTATACTGATCCTGAGTGCACAGCTCAGAAAACTGTCTGCAATATCACTTCTACTTCAGCGATCATGAGGGAAATGTACCTAAATCAAGATTATAGAATTCAGGAGACATATACAAAGGGTGGAACATGGCTGTGTGTGGCTCCAAAACCCACATCCTTCCCATTATAACTCCTGATATCCCTTTTTAGGAAAGCTTAAACTAGTTAGCAATGCATTTTGTCTATGTAGTAGGTATAAACAATGATATACTTAAAATTGTAAATAAAAAGGCATCATTCAATGCTATATAATATCAGTAAGTATGTTGTTAAAAGATCAATATAATTTATATATAACTATTAAATATAGGCATTTACTGACATTAATTGCTAAATATATAACTATATACTAATTTATAATAGCTTATTAAACAATATGTGTCAACTTATACATATAAGTATGCATTATGGCTATATATATATAATATACAAAATGTATCTCAATACCAAAGACAAGATTGTTTTGACCAAGATTCCTAATTGTGAAAGCCTGTTTTAAAAAGCTATGTGATAACTTTCACTCCCTTAATTTTCTTATACAAAAAGATTCAAGACTCCTCTGTCTCAGGAACTTAACAGGTTAGTTATGGGAAGAGGGCTTACATTTTATACTATAAATGCAAGGATTTTATCAGGCATGAAATTTAGTCAGAACAGTTTATGGCTCAGTAAAACATTACTTGCGGCAGCCTTTACAATCAGAATACAGAGGTTACCTAATTCTAATGCACTTTTCAGAAAGTATGGTCAAGATTTTATAACCACTGAACAATATTTCACTTGGTTCTTCAATAAATTCTCCATTCCTTTATTTTATCCATCAACTCTAATTCCAGAAAAAATTATTATGATTTTTTCTATTGAGGTATATGTATTATCAAAGACTCATTCACATGAGTCCTCTGCTACCATGGACTCAGGAGAGCTTAAACATAAAGACACATGGAAAAGATTACATTAATTTTGTCAAAGAAAAACAACACAAGGAAACCCCAAAAGATGTATTGGAAGTGGATGTATGCAATGGGCATTAGTTGTACACAGAGGAAGCTCTTGCTACCTTTGGGGATAATACTGCTTCAACTTAAAGGACAAAATAATATTTATACCATTTTAATTGGAAATGCATTGAGGATTTTTCAAATACCAGAG